AACATTTAGGGTGGTGATTATTCTAAGTACTAATAATAAGGTTAAGACTTAATTTTTCCATTCTACAAATCTATGGTTCTGTCTGCACTCTCCCATCAAATACGAACTCACACCCTGATGGTTAGTTAGGCTCTCAACATGTTGAGTATGGGAATATGAGATGTGAGATGGGATCCCAGAGTTAGTGAGATGCAAGGCAGATGGTGGTCAGCACTCCCAGCTGCGAGTATGAACTTTCAGTTGCTGGAAAGTCAGAAGACACGCTTTCTGTGGAGAGTTTGGGCTCAAAGAGGGTCCCCTGACTCCATGCTCTATCATAAGGATGTGGGCAGATGGATTTCAAGACCTAACTTAGTACAGATTGGTAACATTGGGCACACCTCCTCCATAAGGAAGTATCACTCCAATGCCCCACCTCATAAAAGAAACATTCAAAAATACCAAATTGCCTATTTCACAGTTCAAGAGGATCTACAGTGATTATCTTCATCTTCATTTACAAATGGGGAAAGCAGAGAGGGCAAGGGACAAAAGCACATGGTCAATAGACACTAAGGACAGACAGTAGGAATGGGAAGCCAGGATGGAATCTGTATGGGACATGTAGAAGGGTATACCAGAATCTCCTTTTCCTGAACAGCAAGGATCATCCCCCTCCCTACCTGCTATGTCTCCAGAATGGTCCCTGTCACACAGCTTTGCATCCAAGAAAAGAGGCTAATTCCCACCCACTAAGCAGCCCCAAGGTCATAGCTTAACCTGCATAATCAGAACATCCATTGCAGAGGGTGGGAACATTGAAAAGATAAAGGGCCTCTTTAAAACAGATTCTTCCACACACATTTTTTTCATAATTATAGCTTTAAGAGCTTATGGTGATAGGAAAGCTGACTTCTTAAGAAAAATTAGGAGTTTCATCTGGCAGGAGAGGATTTCCCCAGGGGACAGTACACTGTAATTTTTCAGAGTCCCCAAAAGAAACCCCCACAATGACAACTGCACACTGGCCTGATGTATGACCAGCCTGCCTCACTTACTATGGCCAAAGTCTCATGTTTTAATTAAAAACACTCTGCATGCCATTAAATATGTTGTCGCTTTCCATTTCTGCAACCATAGAGTTTGAGGAGATACAAACAAGAGAATCCATTGCAGATGTGTCAGAGGCCATGGCCTACTGAGTCACCACTACCATGTCCCAAATTCCAGCCACAGAGAACCTCCCTATGAAAATACAAAGTGCAAACAAATGGCCCCTTATGCAGCATTTATAGCCTCTGGTGGTTGCTATAGTTGAGGAGAAGAGTTGGAGTCAGGACAGGAACTACCTATACCAGCATCTCCCTTAATTTATGAACAGAATCTATGACCTCACAAATGACTTCCTGAATAAATAAAAGTGCTTTGACCACATGTGGTTTGCACCAGGCTGTTTCTTTTTCCCTTCCTAATTTTTTTTTCTACAAAAGTCAGATGTTTGTGGGAGTCTCACCTGGTTGTGAGCTCCAATAGGGAATACATGAGAGGCAAAGCTAGCTTAACTTAAGTGTTCATATGTGACTCTGGTATAGAAGCATCCGCTTTTTTATGAGTGTCTGGCCTGAGCACCCTCATCCCCAGACTAGCATCAGCAGCTGGGTTTTATCTGGGGTTGCCAGGCCACCTCTGAGCCTTCCCAGAGCAGCCCCAGTCCACAAGAATTTAATTTTCCTTGAGTGTTTAATTCAAGGTGACACCTCCTGACATGTTGGTCCTCTGATCACCTTAAGTCACCCAGCTATCAGAGGGGAAATATCATCCCCTGTACAGCCCAAGGTGAGACTGACTTAGGTTATGTGTAGGCTCTGTCCTCTCGGCTCCCACAGACCAAGGCTACCAGGAACTTCATGGACATGGCAAGTTTTGGAGTGACGTGTTGAAGAAAGATTTCCATTCTGCAGGAGCAGAAGAGAGAAAGCCACATGCTATGGAGTCATGTCGGCTTGTGTTAGAGTCCCAGACAGTGCTCCGGTGTCCTTGGTATACTGTGGCGCTGGTATCTCTGTCAGCATCTCTGTTTTCTGTCACCGTGAACAATCCAGGGCCTGTCTCCAGCTCTGACAGTGTCTTTTCAGATCAGGTTAGTGCCAGCCCAGAGACCAAGTCTGTTTCCCAGCACACAGCCCCTTTGTTTGAAGTCTGCCCTTTTGTCATTAATGCACTCAATGTCTATTTAAATCTGACAGTGAGTGCAGTATCTGTTTTCCCATCAAGAGATCATTGACAATATTAATAACTCACGACTTTGCCTCATTTTCCAAGTGCTGACACCTAGCCATAGTCTCCTGCATTCATCAAACAGCCCCCTCTCGCCAGGATGTCTATAAGCACTCTTGCTTCCAGGCCCAGAGAAACAGGGCAGGTCTGAAAAAAGGACTTTTATCAATGCCAACCAGAGAAGATGTGTGCATGTGGCTCAGAATGCAGTCCCAGCCCATGTTCCAGGAACACTGTTTCCATCTGCTTGCATGAGGTGTAGAAATTCAGCATGGAGAAAGGTAGAGAGAAGATGTAGAATCCTTGAATGTGTGGGCAAGTTTACGGAGGGGCCAAGGGAGTGCAACCATGGCAGACAGTGGTGTGTGTGTGTGTGTGTGTGTGTGTGTGTGTGTGTGTGTGTGCACATGACTGCCTGTCATGCAGTTTGCTCATGAGAAGGACTATGCTCTTTATGATATCTGGCAGCCCTATCCATTTTTTTTTTGTAAAAATCCATGCTATCCCAGTACTGCAGAAAGAAATTAACATCCTTTGGACCATCCCTCCAGATTTGTGAGAGTTTGCTTGAATCAGCCAGAGTTAAGGCAGTGACTAATGGGATTTCCCATGCATCTGAGGCATGCCAAGTCAGACCAGTAATGGAGGTAGAATGTGTGCAGTCCAACCCATAGACCACCAGGGTTCTGGCATTGGTGATGATGTTGGTATAACTCTAAGCTCTACAAAATACAGTAAAGGGAACAGCTCTGTGCCAATAGCTAAAAGAATGGCTCACAAGAAAGATATGAGTGGGGTTTCACACAAGCTCAATATTTCCAGGCACTAGACCAATACTAAAAACCAGAAACTGGGGACTAGGGAGTAGAGGAGCAGGAAAGCCAAGTCAGGCAGGAAGAATGACCAACAATAAAGCTGTCCATGTCAACACAGCAACAAAAGAGCTAGGTCACAAATGATGTCACCCTGTCCATCTTCCAACTCTGAGAGCACCTGGGATCCCAGTAACTTTCAAATTTGCCTCTGACTATTCAAAGCAGGGCACATCTATACTACCCTTAAAAGTTTCTACAGTTTATTTTAATCCTTATTTACAAACAAAGTTGAGGAGATAGGTAGGATGGATGGTTGATAAAGTGCTTGTCATGCAAGCATGAGGACCTGAGTTTGATCCCCAGTGCCTACATTAAAAGGTTAAAAGGCAGCTTATAGCTGTGTACACCTGTATTCTCAAAGATGGGCTGAGCAGAAGGAACCTGGGAGCTTGCTGGCCAGCCAGATAGTGAATCCGAGCACTCAGGGCCAATAAGAGACAAATAATCATTAAAAAATGGCAGACAGCAATTGAGGAAGACAACTGATGTCAACCTGTGGCCTACACACACACACACACACACACACAGAGAGAGAGAGAGAGAGAGAGAGAGAGAGAGAGAGAGAGAGAGAAAGAGACACAAAACATATGTTCTACTAACATTTGATGTGAAGAATATAGCTGATCTCAAATCAACAAAGAATGGTGTGTATTGATGTCACTCTACTGAACTGATGGAATAAATAACCAATAACTGATGGCAAAGGGAGCAATCATCACAGGCAGGTTTGTGGCTCAAGGATTAATGTTTTATGGCTGTTTCCCTTCTTTGCCTTCTGTGTGCTTCAGAGATTTAAGTCCCATTTGTACTCAAACAACCATGTGCAGGTGAATTTTAAGTTATTTCTTCTAAAATTGAAAAGGGTAAAAAAGCAATAAATATTTTCTTGGGAAAACACTTTTTTGTTCTTAATAATCTTACAGCGTTTTCACAATGATTGTAGCCAATGTCCTGGGTATTTATTCTGTAATGTTGAGTATCAAACCTAAGACTTCCAAATTCTAGGCAAGCCCTATTTCTCCAAGTTACAGTCCTATCCTTTGATTTATTTATTTTTTTTGAAACAGTCTCACTATGAATTCAAGTTAGACTCGAACTCACCATCCTTCTGCTCAATCCACCCAGGTACTAGGATTACAGGCATGACGTCCATGCACAGAACTTCCATGGGTACTTATAATATAGAAAGACAGGTTGCTTGGAACACCTGTCTCTCTTCTAAGTTGTTTCATAGTGAAATATCGTACAATCTCCACAGATGACAACAAAGTTTTCTAAGGAGCCACAAATTCTATATGAAGTGGAACTAAAAAAAATGCATTTTCACATGAGAAATGAGTCGGGGATGCCTAATGCCAGTGGTACTCATTGCTTTTGGTACAGTCTTCAGTCTGCACAGCCACTCTCCTTTCATCACCCAGCATGGGCTTGAAGTCCCCCAGGATTTGGAAAATTCTCTCTGGAAGTCAACAATATTGATTTCCAATAAAGGACTTCAAAATAGTCACACTCCAGGAAGATTACCTTTCAGCTTCTACTTGAGCTGGATTCATCTGATTTAAACTTAATTTTCCCTTCTTAGAAACTAGACTAAGGAAGTCTGGAGAGGAGGGGGCTGTGCTATATTTCAGGGAACCATTTGTTAAATTAGAAAAGTTCTTAAAATGAAGAAATCCCACAAAAACCTGTTTATTCCTAGGAACCTGTACTCAACAGTAAAATTTTATTTTAAAAGTCACCTCTGAGGACAAGAAAGTACAGTATTTGCCACCAGATTAGCCATCATAGTGCCATGTCTGCTTAGTAACAGCTGGACTTCTGAACTATATGAATTATGCCACCAGTAATGATGTCTCTTTCTGTTTACAGGTGTGCTGGGGAAAGGTCGCTATTTTTACTATGGAAGAAACTCAGAGGGTAATAGGTTCATCCGAGATGACCAGCTTTGAAGCTAAATTCTCCATGCCTTTGCTTATTTGGTGACAATAAAATGAAAAGGCAAGAAAAACCACAGCCCGCATTGTGTCTCTCTAAGAAGGCTTTCAGTGTCTTGTGCTGACTTTGCCAGGCCTGTCAAGATCATCCAACTGCCTTAGACTGAGTGGTCACAGAGAGATTGACATGATTGCCCTTAAGCAGGTCTCATCCACCAGGGTGACAGACAGCAGTGGCATAGCACCAGGGCTGACAGCATGAACACCATGATAGATTGCCTGGTCTCTTCACTGCTCACAGGGGGACAGGGTCACACCTGGGGCCTCCTCAGGCATGCTCACTGACTGCAGTATAGTGATAGAGGCTCTCCCAAGCTTTCCTTCTAAGTCCTCTGATATCACTATGCTTTGGTCTTATTTTCAGTGGCGTATTCAATGGTACAGCTGAAGGGCATCCCCTTTAACCCTTTAGCCTGCATAGTAGACATTATATTAACCAACTCATCAGCATTGTCTTTTATCTTTGGCAATGCACTTCCATCATTCAAAGAACACAGCTTCTCAAACAAGTCATCTATTTATGTGTGGCTTCATAATGCAATTCCTGAAATTCCCTAAATCCCTGACTACAAAAGCATGTTGGTTCAAAATTTACTTGTCCTGAACATGTCAGTCACAGAGTAAGCCATGTTTCCTGACACAGGATTCTCTCCCCCAACCCCTACACGGTCAGCTATGCCTATGGCCATATTTACCCCACAGGCTGCATTGTCCCTTTAAATGTAGTAAGATAATGAAAGATGATGTGATAGGCCAGGAGGTTGGAAAACAAATGGAATATTGTAGAAAATACCCAGCAAACCAAACAGGTTTGATAGAACACAAGCCTTCAAGGTTTCCTTTTTGTCTCAGAATCTCTCAGGAGTCATATCCATGTCTTTAGCTTGTTTTGGTTGTTTGCTAGCACTGGATTATATGGAAAACAAGCACAACCATGCTAGACAAATAGTTGTCATATTGTCTACCTTACAGTTGTCTGGGTCAAACTACTCTAGAAGACTTCTTGCCTTTGACACAATAGCATTTACCCTTTCTTCTAGTATTTATGCTGTATTCACTTCCCTGAGTACCCTAGGTAGGACAGCAAAGCTTGAAATAGAATCCCTCCAAGTCATGGATAGCAAGAGAGTTGCTAGTACACAGTCAGTCACTGAGGACTCCGATTCCCTGAGCTGCTGGAGAAGGACCTGTCTTTCTCAGATCTAGTCCGTTTACATAGCCTCTGCCCTACTGAGTCAACACAGCCTTGGAATAACACATATCCAGGCTGGCAGGAGTCCCGCATGGAGATTACACAACATCCATTCATCAGTTTTTGGGAGCAGCTAACATTAAAGTCCTGGAGACCATTAATAACTAGAGATTATACAAGCCGCTAATAAACAGGGTTGAGTACCTTCTCTCTGTTTGATCTACACAACATCACCAAGAGCTAATGGTTTCCATTACTGCCATCAGGTCCCACCTTGCTTCTTTGTTTAGCAGCAGCAGAACGCTTGGCCCGTTGCATATTATGGGCAGCAAGGCTCCTTGCAAGGGCAGGGAGACTAGTCTGATGTCACATCCAATCTAACGGCACATAGATCCCTGTCTTCATAAAAGGCTTTAACCCTGCCTCAAACAATAAAAAAGCACTTGTGAACTGACCACAGAATTTTTCCATCTTTATTTTTCATACTTGTTTACTTTTCTTAATGTCAGAACCATTTGTATCATGTGCAGGAATGTCTCCCTCAATGTGAGCTTTGGAGGCAAAAAAAAAAAAAAAAAAAAAAAAAAAAAAAAAAAAAGGAAAGAAAATTGGAGTGAGTTATTGGCCACACTGTTTCCCTCTCTTTGGGTTGTTTGTTGTCTTCCAGAATGGTGTAATAACTTCAATTAAGATTAGCTTTAATTATAACTTACGTAAAGGCCATCATGGCAGTATATTCATCTTACTGATGAAATTACAGTGAGTTTTGTTTCTCTTAAGTAGGGATGATGATAATGAATTATTGTCTGGTTGTTTACAATTCCATTATCTGTTGAGCAACATCTGCCCTTCTAGAACTGGACTGTGGTCTGAATTGGCAGGGGAGGAAGCCCTGAGTCTTGTTTATTGAAAATCTGTAGGAATTTCCCAAACTGTGTTTTTCAAAGTCAGAAATTACAGGGTAATAAATTCATCTGAAGTCCAGACATGTCTCATCTGCCCCATTACACCTGTTTGTCTTCCTCACCCTGCTCCATGCAGCCTGTTCTTTAGGGACCACTCTTGGACAACCCTATCTCCCCTCCCCAGGCCACTGGTCCGAGTCCAGAGAACTGGGAGATGCATGGAATTTTGAAGCTGTCTGTTGCTTCAGCCAGTGAGGGAGATGATCTTTCTCCTAAGTAACATCACTTTACATAACCATTTGTTCCTAGGGGGGTAATGTTTTAGATTGTGGGAAAACCTATTAAAAGTACTATTACAATCATTTGCTTTTACCTTTACCAGCCTTGCTGCTCATAAACCTTCCATCTGTTTGCTGCTTTGAATAGAAGCACATTATTAAAGGTCATCGCTTAATCATGCTGCACATCTCCATGTTGTATGCTTTCTCATGTCCATGTGTGTTAAGGAATAAAAGAAAGCAAACTACAGACTGCATAAAAGGATGTGTGTGTGTGTGTGTGTGTGTGTGTGTGTGTGTGTGTGTGTGTGTGTTTATTTATGTAAACAAACTGTATCTTCACCACTTCAAGGGAAACCATCTTCCTTGCTCTTTCTAAGAAATAACCTGGATGTCTTTTTCTTCTTATTCACTATGTAGAGCAAAAACAACTTACATCTATGGAGCTCTTTCTTTTGTAACTGTAACATGACTCAGAACCTTACAAATAGAATATTTGTAAGGTCAACCTACATCAGCTATGTGTCACTGCCTGATGCCCAGCTAAGATGCTACAGGGCTCAATGCTACTCTTTATTGTTTCCCATCCACTGCAGTTCATACAATGTGATTTTTACTACCTGCATATTCCAGTTTTGTTTCCAAAAAGCCACCTTCCCTAAAGAAGGGTGTTACCATTACTTGACTCTGGTGTCTCTGGTTCGTGTGGCTACAGTACTATAATCAATCCTGAGTAAGAAAGGAAAAAGAGACCAGAATCCCAAAGCATGCCAATCACTTGCGTGACAACCAGGTCATTGAATCTTGGCCTAATACCCTGGTGTTACTTATGTTGCTTCTGACAATCTGTTCAGTTTTTACATGTTTTATTGGTTTTTCATTTAGTGTGAGTGCACACAAACACAGGTGCCACAGGACACTTTTGTGAGTGGAAGTCAAAGGACAATTTGCTAGAACAAGGTCTCTCCTTTCACCATGTGGGACTTGGAAATGGACATAGGTTTTCATGGTAGTGGCAGACATCTATCTATTCCCATAGAGCCACCTTTCCAAAAGCATTTATTTCAACACTTGAAGAATACCACAAGACAGCCACTTCTCCAACATCATTGTTTTTCTACAAGTTTCTCTGAAATTTCCCAGGATTGGTGGTGCTCCATTAGGTAATAATAACATAAATAGCAGTTGGTTAGTCTGTGGTAGAGTATTAATAAATTGTGTCATTTGTAAACATTAACACATCACTGTGTGAACATTTTTCTGAAGGAGAGCAGGATGTGACTCAGAGATAAACCAACTCAGGAAAGAATTATGCCAGGAAAGAGAGGTGATGTCTTATATGGAATATGTATTATGGGAAGTTATGGGACAAGGTGATAGGAATGGCAGTAAGTAGGATTATGCCAAGGGAGAGCAGGAAATAGTCCAGACATGGAATCTTAGTGGAGATAGGTAGGCTCAGAACAGAGAATAATGAAAGAAAAGGAGGATAGACAAATTTCTACCAACCCAAAGATTTTCCCATGGAGAAACATCCCTCTGCAAAATGAAGTCATGTTTGATATTATCAGATTCCACTGGATAAACTCAACAAGTTTCCCCACTTAGAATGATGAAGCAGTGTGGAGCAGATGTATTTGATGCCACAGGGATACATGTGCCCATGTTTGATGGCACACAGGGCCACCTCTGACTGATTCTAACGTGTGTCTAACAGCTCACAAAACCTACCATGTTAAGTTCCCCTAGACCAGCTAAGGTGAAAGAAAACAGTGTCTGGGCAGAAAGATGAGAAAGACATATTCTTGTGAGTCTTCAAAGACTCATTAGTTCAGACATAGTTGAATACCTAGACAAAGATGCCACAAAAATTCAGACGACAGCTATGACAACAACTGAAGCCATCTATGTGGGCAAAGAGGCTGACAATAGATTTGACTACCTCTTGGTACCAGAAGAAAAAAATATTTCATGGATAATACAGAAGATATTTAAATTCATTTGTGGATAACCAAAATTAACATAAGGAACACTCTAGAAATTATTTCTTGTCATATCAGTTACTCAATGTGGCAAAAATTCTTTTGAAGGGTGGGACTCATTCAGTCCTAAGGAATCCAATACCCACTTCTGACCTGCACATGTGATGCACATTTGTTCATACAGACACACACATATGCATAAAGATAAATACATATTTTTAAACATAGGAATGGATTTGAATTTCATTGAGAATTTTTTAGACTTAATTTTTCAATTCAGGTAATTGTAATGAGCGAAGCAAGACCCTAGTGGTGGACTCAACTGTAGCTTGTAGATTATACCAGGCATGGAGTAGCCAAATAACGAAGAATGAATATACATTATTTATTTACAAGGATTAGAATTATTATATCATAATTTAAATAAAAATATTACTTTTGATTCAACTTAAAGCCAGATAAAAATGAGTTTATCATTTAGATACAGAATTTTTTATGCTATTGTTTAACTTAATGCAGTCTTTTCTTGAAAAAAAATGGCACTCTAAATTTCATCATATAGGAAGATTTGTTTTTCAAGATTATGACAATAATGAAA